CACTATAGTTGAACAAGCCTTCGATCGACTCATTTTCTCCCTCTTTTTTAATCCACCAATAATCAATACTCTTAAAAATAATCCTAATCCGAAAAAACCCAAAATAAACCTAATATGTGATTTTTGGAAAAATAATTCATTGACTTATCGGTGATTTGAGTTTAAAACTCATTTATCTTTTCCCAAATGTTATACGGTGCCGTTTCAGTAATATTCTTTTAATTTTTTGGGTAAACTACACATTTCATCACTCAACTTTCTTATCTCTCCTATTTCAGTCACTCAAGTTTTAAAAGTTGAGGGACCTAAATTCAAGTGTCTGAAAAGTTCAGTGACCATTTATATAATTTACCCTAATTTTCATAGCTGCAAACGGTATCAAACTGCCATGTCATCTTCTTCTAACAGCGGTTTAACGAAGGGGACCATATTGCAAACGGATTAAATGTTGGGGGATTGTATTGCAAGTTTTAAAAGTTTGGGGACCTAAATGCAAGCTTCAAAAATGTTCAGTGACCATTACTATACTTTACCCATGAATTAATTGTAGATCGATTATAATGTAATATTTGTTTTAAATATTTTTAATTATTTGATAGTTGTTATAATTATTTATATTTGAGCTCGTTATTTCTAAAAATAATAACGATTCTTTTAATTAATCCGTGTGATAATTGAGTTTATTTAAATGTATAAATAAAAAATATTTATATAAAATGACTTAATATATAAATATAAAATGTTTTAAAAGGTTTAATGGACTGTTTTCACCTAAATTATAATGTTTCTAAATAGCGATTTAATTTGTTTAGAATCCCTGTTTTTCTATAATGATATTTAATTTGTTTAGAATCCCTGTTTTTCTAAAATTTAATTCATTAGTATTTTATCCTAAATGTTAATATTCTTTTAAGAAGAAGAAAAATTAATTAATCAAAGCACGTCATATAACACTTATCGCTTAAAAATATACTTGACTTTCATAGAAAATGATAAATGACACTCTCAAGTCATCAAGATTTTGAACATTAACTATTTTTTACTCTTATTTTCAACATTAAAATTAAAATAAATTCAATTTAATCACTTAACTTTGAATACTACATTAAACTTTTCAATCAGCTTACCGTTATTTCTTTAACTTTTTGGTGAAATGACATTTTGATTAATTTATGAACTACCACATAGGTATTAATTAATATTTTATTACTATTATTATTATCTATATTAATTTATTAATATTATTTTTTATTAATTACCTGGAAACGAAGAAATGAAGCTTTGGATGTTTGCGGGTGCAAGTGAATGATTCCTACTGCAAAAATCTGGAAAAAGAAATATGAAGACAAAACAAGCATGAGAGCATAAAGCCGTAAAGTAATGGATACACGCCTTTAAGTCTAATCCCTTATTTACTCCAACCTTTGTCATTTGCATCCAAGAAGACAAAGTACATCGACACCAAAATGCAACGAAACCAAGAGGTGATTAGGGAATGTCAAATGAGTGATGTTTTTGGGTTATAGGGAGGACGGAAGTTTCTATTTAATATTTGTATCAACACGGATGGTAATGCTAAATCCGTGGAGTTTCGGGTATATTTTGGTTAAATGAATATTTAGAATATTGAGACAAATTTGGTGAAAAAATTTTGGAGTCATCGACCTCCAACGACAATGGTCGGTAGTAGTCAAAATGGCAGCCAGTGTGGTGGTCAAAATCCGTGTTCATTTATGGTTTGGAGAGAAATAATAAAGAAGAAGAAGATAAAAGAAAATAGGAGAAGATGAGAAAAAAGTAGTTTTTTTTTCATTTAAAATAAAACGACTTGTACTAGTTTAAATTGCTTTTTTATATATAACCACTGTATCCGATCTATTGATAGACTAATTCGAATCGGATACTGTAGAGGCAAACGCAACCTTCCGAATCCAGTTTGCTCTATTCGCAATCGTCAAGATTCGAACCCCTATACTGTTGATTGAGAGAAAATTTTCAGGGAGAACTCAATCACAAATTTCTAAGAATAATCAATGACTCAATTTTTCTTTAAAATTCAAATCAATTTATTTTTTCCCTTCCAAGATTGTCAATCCAAAGAGATAGAGGCAAATTATGTTTTGTTTTCCCTTTGACTACGAAACGGTTTCTAAAACATTATGTTTCGCTATAAAACTCAAGTAATGTGAACTAAAGAGTATATGTAGTAACTGAATGGACCATGACTGAGGCCCATACCAGCAAACCAAAATACTGCTAAACTCAAAACCTCTAGTTAGCTGATAAATGCTTATAACAACAATCTGATCTATTAGATGCATTTTATATTGGGCTAATGGATTTTCTTGATGAAAAGGCCATTATCATCTTTTGGCTTCCTAAGACAATAGATTTTATTAAACCAAGTTATCGGCTGCTATTATAAAGTAACGTTTTTGTTACCTTCGATGTCTTGGCCTTATCATTCATAGTGAGTGCAAGTTGTTGAGTTGTGGTGTATGCTCTTAAGTTATCGGGGCCTCTTGTAAAGGTTCTTCGAATAGTTATTGGAGAGAAAAAAACTCCCCATGGGTACATTTATAAAGCTATGGATAGAGCTAAGGAGACTATTTCGAAGAGTTTTGCAATGAAGAATGAGCACTACAAACGAGCTTTTGAACATATCGATAGAAGATGGGATTGCCAACTTCATCGACCTTTGCATGCTGATGGTTATTTTTTAAACTCAGATCTTCATTATGATAATCCCGAGACATCAAGTGAAGAAGTTATGAAGGGTTTATTTGATTGCATTGTAAGGTTGAATTCAAATATTGAAATTCAAGACAAGATCATTGGAGAACTAGAGATATATCAAAATGCTCAAGGTCTTTTCGGCTTACCAATGACCATTAGACTAAGGAAGAAACAATCTCCAGGTATTAAATTTAAAAGTTATTGGAAGTTATAATATTATCTTATATTTAAAAGTTTTTGAATTCACTAGACACCAACTTAAATTTAAGTTTTTAAAGCTTATACGATGTTTGGCTTTTGTTTTAACAGCGGATTGGTGGTTTATATTTGGAGCATCGGCTCTCAATCTCCAAAAGGAATTCTTAGTCTCACTTGTAGTGCCACCAGTTGGAAGAGGAAATAGAGTGTTTTTCAAACTAGTAAGAAACTCTTTTTTGTATATTTTTTGTCACATGTCATAACATTTAGTGTTTAATTACTTAATAACATGTATAAAAATTTGCTTTTTACAGCTTCATACAAAAATAGAAACAAATTGACACAAAGTCGATTGAATGATTTCTCTTGGAGGATGTTGACAAAAGTAATGAGTGGTTACTTGGAAGAATAAAAGATGACACTGACAATGAAGATAATTTTGTGTTTGATGATGATGATTTGACATGGAGTCAAGCTAGTAGAGCTATTGGAGCACACGATCCAATCTATTTGACTGAAGCATCAAGGATTATAAATGAAAGTTCTGAATCTTCCTCCAAATTAGGCAAAGGAAAAGGTGTAGCTTCTAACTCTACTCCTAGATCAGCTCCCACTCCGACTTCGGCTTCGATGGATAATGATGATGAGATATTAGAGGATATTGGTGAAAATGAAGACTAAGATGGCAATGATGGAGATAGTTACGAGGATGATGATGATTTGGAGTGGTGATGTATTGATGTAGTTGTTTGCTACTTTGTTAAAGTGTCACAACTCAAAACATGTTTGTGTGTTGCTTGTTGTTAGTTGACAGTGCAATTATATTGAATATTTAGATTTTTTAAAGAACTATAATATTATTTATCATGTTATTTTGAGTACAAAATATAGTTTACACTTGACTTATATCATATAAAACAAATAGTGAGTCCTCACATAAAAAAAGCATGTTACGCCTAGGCTCCAAAGACCTTTTGTGCCTCAGTGCGCCTTACGCCCTTAAAATCCAATCATATAATATAAAGAGCTTTCTTGTTTTCTTTTTTTTTCATTTTGAACTCTTAGAATATCTTTGAATGGTAATTTTACTTTATTTTTACTATGGTTTTCTTTGCTGCCTGACTCCTATCCCTTCTAAATTCTTGTAACTAAAAGGGTTTATTGCAGGCTTTGTGAAGCTTGTTAAGCAGCAAGATTAGAAACGATGCTTTTGATGGGAAGATACTGATTGAGAAGTTGTCTAAACTTTACTTCTCATTTCCATTAGTGTTATATAATTATATTAACACTCTTGAGTCTTGACTACTGGAATCTAGTCAATTTTTATATTCATAACTGAAGAAGAGAATTTTTTTCTGTTTATCTTGTTTTTGTTTAGATAGGCATTTTCTATGTATAAACATGTAGATTTGATTGAGAATATATCGTGTATCTTTTCCCTCGTGAAGACCTTGCATATACTTTTTTATGATGTAAGCTGATGTGGCTTTTTTAGATTTATCATGTTGCGGTTCCCTTATTGCAGCCACATGTTTTTGTTATTTTCTTACTGTCTGGGAGTAGCTATGCATGAATTCAGTACTGCAATTTGCATGACTGCACAACCGTTCTGCTTAGAAAGTAGAAACTGTTGCATAAATTCATCCTAACTAGTTTTCTGTTATTGAAGCTATTGTTCTGGTTGGATTCTTAACATTTGTTTCTTTGTTTTTAATTTGTCTTCTTTCACTTGTATCACTTGCCTTTGTTCCTTGACACTTCACGAATTTTGTTCTATTTGTGAATCGTCTGTTTTTTGGGCAAATTTTTACATACCTGTGCTGTCTTTAGCTGTTTTACTTTGGACCTATGGCTGTTCATCTTAGATTGTCATCAATTGCTTCATCACTATTCTATTGTTTTCCTCTAGGCAGTAACTTTTAACTATTCAGACAGAATGGCTGATATGAAGTGGGTGCTCATGTTTAATTTTTCTCTTCAATGATCATCTTCATTGAAATTTAGGAGTGGTGTGGATTGCTTTCTTGTGTAGTACTGTTGAAATTAGTTTGGACATCATCTCCAACTAATCTTGGCTTGTTTGATGCATTTTTTTTAGTGCAGCCATTGATGGTAGAATGGGATAATTGATGAAAGAGTTTCAGTATCATTTTATTTTTCTTTTTTCATTCTAGGATTGTGTTAGATTCCTTTGTCTGTGGTTTCTTCAGTTTTAGTTCACAAGGTATTTATCATTTTTTTTGGGACATTTGGTACCATGATTTGGAGGTTTTACAATGTGAATAATCTTATTGGATTTTTTTCTTTTAATCTCCAAGTAAGCTTTGATTGTAAATTTAAGCCGTTTTCTGTTACTTGTGGGATATGAAGTATTACTTTATCAAATGCCAAACTCATATCATTTAAATTTAAAGTATAATAAATTTATGTAAATTTCAGCGGCTCTGATTTTCCTTTTCAGTGATCTAACCATCTTTGCACAGCTCTTAGATTGATTACTTTTGGAATTTCTTGGGGATATTGATGTTATTGGATGTTTATTTTGCTGAAGACCTGTTATTGACATTATTGTTGATTTTTGAATTACTTTGAGTCTGTTCAATTGATTTGTCTCCAACCAAATGTCTTATAATCATATATTTTGCATGCCCAACATATGGCCACGTATGTAGTAATGTAATCCTTTGAAGTGTGTGCTTCAAAACTCTTGAACAAATTTTTACTCTCAGGGGTAAGCAGTCTGAGTTCTGATAGTTCCTTGTTTGGTATAGATTAAAGCTATCGCATATGAACCTCTCTCAGCATAATTTTCTCTCTAAGTAGATAGCTTCAGTGAGAAGGAATAATTCTTGCATGAAAATTTGCAGCCACACCCCCTCCCCCCAAAAAAAACACCATCTCATTTTTGCTGAATATACCTTTTATTTCTTATATAGTGTTAGCATGAATTTTGTTAACATTGATTCAGATTTGTTCTCGATGGTGTATTACTCACCGGAAGAAGGCAAAACAAATTTTTGAAACATGAGATAAATTATTCAGCCCTTCCCAGAAAGACAGGCGGGTTTCTTTTCTCTATTTGGCTAATGACATATTGCAAAATAGCATGCGGAAAGGAGGTGAGTTTGTGAATGAATTCTGGAAAGTTCTTCCTGCAGCCCTCAAACATGTGTATGACAATGGTGATGAGAAAGGAAAGAAAGCAGTAACCAGACTGGTAACATATTATTCAACTTTGACTAGTTACTTCGTTGCATGTGTCAGATGGATTAGCTACTCGAGGTTTTGACTACTGGTCTGATGGTTTGATTAAATTTTTTTTCTTTAATGGTTGCTTTATCACTTTCGTAAGAAAAACTTTCGTTGCATTTATATGATAATGTTCAGGTTAACATATGGGAAGAGAGAAAAGTTTTTGGTTCTCGAGAAAGATAAAATACTCGGTAAGAATCTACCTCCTCCGTCTGTGAACAATGGAAAAAACTCGAATCCTATCAAGATAATGAAGAGGGATGCTCATGCAGTGAGAATATTAAGAATTTAATTATTCAATTCTCATCCTATCTTTCCACTTTATTCTAGCCATTTTGTTTGTATTATTTTATGGCTAGACATTTCTTTGGCTTATTTGTTTGTGATTTTTTGTTTCTTTTCCTGGTCATCTTACCTTCAGAAATTAGCTGTTGGAGGTCTTCCAGAAAAAATACTCACTGCATATCAATCCGTACTCGATGACAATTCAAATGAGGATACTGCTTTAAACAAATGCAGTGTTGCAGTACAAAACTTTATTACAATTAGGGAGGATGTTCGAAGTAGTTTAGCTCAAGGTATGAGTTCTGCTATGGGATTAAATGTTCTATGCTTACATTTTATTAAGATTTCATTTACCAATGACACAAGAAGAGTACACCATATTTCCCCTCTCTTTGTATGTACAGGTTTGTGTATTCCCGGATTAATACTATTACTGACATAGAGCTCTGCAGTTGTAATAAAGTATTTTCCAGTATATCCTTGTTGATACTTCACCATGGAAAAGAGAATGTTCAACCTGTAAAAATCTTGAATAAAATGAAAAGTAATTATGATTTACTATTCGATGTGTCAACTGTCAAATACTTTTATTTTAGATATATGAAAATAGAAATAAATTGATGAGTCTAAATAGTTACCTGACATTCTTAATCTTGGGCAGAGGTCTATATAGAAACTAGGTTGAGACAGGTTACTAAGGTTTCGAAAACCAATTTGGCTTTATTCCAGGCAGGTCTACTACGGAGGCGATTCATCTACTTCGACGGCTTATGGAGAAATATAGGGGAAAAAATAGAGATCTTCACATGGCGTTCATTGACCTTGAGAATGTGTACGATAGCGTACCGCGCGATACGATCTGGAAGACCTTGGAAACGAGACGGATCCCAACTGCTTATATCCGGGCGATTCGTGATATGTACTTTAGATCTACTACATACGTCAGGACTACAGTTGGCGACACCGAGGCATTCCCGGTGAAAATAGGACTCCACCAGGGGTCGGCTCTTAGCCCTTACATCTTCGCCTTGATTATGGATGACATCTATTGTGCGACTCCAGACGGTGTTCCATGGTGTATGCTTTTCGCTGACGACATTGTCCTAATTGCTGAAACAAAAAATGAACTGAATAGAAGACTTGCTACCTGGAAGACTGTTTTGGAAGAAAAATGTCTAAGGATCAATATTGAAAAGACAAAGTATTTATGTTCAAACTTCAGTGGGAACCAAAACGATGAAGATGTAAAAGTATGCATCGAAGGACACGTTCTCCCCTAAAAGGATTGTTTCAAGTACCTAGGGTCTATGATGCATAAAGATGGGGGTGTAGATGATGACGTTACACACCGTATAAAGGCGGGATGGCTAAAGTGGAGGGCTGCTACTGGGGTTTTGTGTGACAAGAAGATGTTTCTAAAACTCAAGGGAAAATTTTATAGAATGGCAATAAGACCAGCGCTGCTATATGGATCAAAATGTTGGGCAATCAAGAAGGATCACTTAAGGAGGATGGAGGCCGCAGAAATGAGAATGCTCCGATGGACATGTGGTAGGACTCTGTGGGACATGACACCAAACTCTGCTATTAGGATGTCCTTGGGGGAAGTGCATGTATCTGAAAAATTAAGGGAGGGAAGACTACGGTGGTTTGGGCATGTCCTTAGGCGACAACCGTCGGATGCGGTCAGGAGGGTAAAGTCAATTTCAGTCGACGGTGCCAGAAGTAGAAGACGACCAAAGAGGAAGTGGGTAGACTGCTTGAGATCTGATTTGAAGGATTTATCCCTTACCGAGGACATGACCTCTGATAGGAAAGTATGGAGACTTAAGACCAGGGTAGCCGAGTAGTATGGGTCAACAACCATAGGGTGTAGCATCTCTGTCTTCTTTTTAATTGTCTTTGTTGTAATTTCCATTGCCTTAGTTTAGGTTTTAATCCATTTTGACTTTATTCCTTCTCGTAGCTTGCTAGCGCTGACATGCGTGTATCTTTCTCATCATGTTTCCTCTTTTTAAATTAATCCAGGACTTACGTTTTCTGTTTATATGCAGATTTTTAGGCATAGTTTATTGCAGGGATTACTTCCCATTACAGGCGCGCATATGAATGACTGCATATGAAGACTGTTCAACTATGTATGTATTTATTTATTTATTTATACATGCATTGTATTTAATTTGTATTTTTTAATTTTCTGAATTGCCAGAGGTCTTCCACGGAAGCTGCTCTCAACCTGGTGTTGGGGGTTGCCTATTAACCTACCTCCCCTTATCCCATTGCATATGGGAATAGGGTTTTGTTGTTGTTGTTGTTGTTGTTGTGTTTGAACCAGATTCTAAGTTGTGAGTATATGTTTCTCTCAATTGAATTTATTTTTTTATTGATAAAATATTGCCTATTTATAGATTACAAAGAGAGTCTATTCTAGGAAATATACAAAATCAAAAAATCATGGTAAAATCCCTAAAAGTCAGCATCTATGAATTAGGGAATTAAATTTCTTAATTTTCAGTAATTTGTTCCAATTTATAGCCTACAACCTACACTCCCCCTTAAGCTGGTGAGTATATATTGTAGAGTCTCAGCTTGGATGTAATTTCATCAAATGTAACTCTTGGAAGGGCCTTGGTGAGAACATCAGCTTGCTGATCTTTAGTAGAGACAAATTTGAGTTTAGAAACTCCATTGTTCACCTTCTCAGAGATGAAGTGTCTATCTATCTCAACATGTTTAGTTCTTTCATGATGCACAGGGTTTTTGGCTATACAAAATGGTTGATTTGCTATCAGTTTGTAGCTCAAATTGTTTGGAATCACTGAGTCCCAATTCTGTTACGAGTCTTTGTAGCCATATTCCTTCATAGATTCCTAGTGCAATTGTCTTGTATTCTACCTCAACACTACTCTTGGCTACAAACGGTTACTTTTTGCTCCTCCAAGTTTCCTCACACAAATTAGCAATAACAACTTGTTGACCTTCCATATGTCAGTTCCTTGTCCATCTTGAATCAGTGAGAACTTTAACTGTTTTGTCTTCATTTTTCTTGAAAAATAAACCATGTACAGGAGTAAACTTGAGGTATCTCAAAATTTTATTCACTGCCTCAAGATGTTCTTCTCTAGGATCACACATGTGTTGGCTCACAATACTAACTAAGAAAGCTATATCAGGTCTTGTAAGAGACAAATAAATGAGTTTCCCAACCAACCTTTAATACTTCTCCTTGTTGACTGGACTGCCTGTCTCTTTCCTTCTTAGCATGAGGTTGGTTTCCATAGGAGTATCTGTTGGTTTGCACCTTAGCATCCCAGTTTCCGAGAGTAAATCAAGGATATATTTCCTTTGATTGATAACCAGACCAGCCTTTGTTCTAGCTACTTCTATCCCTAGGAAATATTTGAGATTGCCAAGATCCTTTGTTTCAAGTTTCTTATTTCATCATTTTCATTTTCAGTAATCATAATGTCATCAACATAAACAATTAAAATAGCTTTCTTACCACTTTGTATTACCTTTACGAACAAGGTATGGTCCTCTTGGCATTGTTTATAGACATTTTTTATAATGACTTTTGTAAATCTGTCAAACCATGCCCTTTGGGATTGCTTCAGACCGTAGAGAGATTTCTTCAACTTGCAAACCTTTTTATGATCATATTTTTCTTCCATTCTCGATGGAACTTGCATTTACACTGCTTCTTCAAGTATTCCATTTAGGAAGTCATTTTTTATATCGAATTGATGAAGTATCCAGTCCTCATTTACTGCTAATGATAGCAAGACCCTCACTGTTTTTCACTGTAAAAACCCATTTACCTCCTTTTATAAACACTTAGCTCCCTTTTTCACTGTAAAAACTGGGGCAAAAGTCTCTTGGTAGTTTATTAGGATTGTGTGAATCCCATAGCCACTAGTCTAGCTTTGTACCTTTCAATGCTTCCATCTGAGTTGTATTTCACTGTAAAAACCCATTTACATCCAACTGGTTTCTTTCCTTGTGGTAACTCTGTTAATATACATGTCTCATTGCTCTCTAATGCATTGATTTCCTCTTCAACAACCTTCTTCCACCTTGGATCTTCTAAAGCTTCCTCTATAGTTTTAGGAATAACAACTTTGTCAAGTTGGGCAGTTAATGCCCTAAATGAAGGCTTCAAGTTTCCATAGGCTACAAATCTTTGAACTGGGTGATTAGTAGACTTTCTCACACCCTTTCTTTGAGAAATAGATAGATCAACATTGTCAGAAAAAGGAATAGGAGCTTCAGTTTGTGATGATCCTTTACCTTGTGAATCTTCTGAGGCTATTAGACTTGAGTCTAGCATTTGGCATATTCCAGGTTGTATTGCAGCTCCTATGGATGGCCTTTACCTCCTTTTATAAACACTTAGCTCCCTTTTTTTCAAGTTGAATAGGTTCGTTCCTTTTGGTAGTTACTGGTGAGCTTGGAGGAGGTAAGAAAGACTGCTAGTCTAGGAAAAATGAGGGTTGCTATTATAGAAAAGTGGGCTATTGTTCTGGAAAAAATGAGGGATGTTGTTCTGGAAAAGAAGATTATTGTTCTAGAAAAAATGAGGTATGTTGTTCTAGAAAAGAGGGTTGCTATTCTATAAAACAAAATTGGACCATAAATAGGTGAAGGTTGTTAGTTTGAAGGTAATGATGCAGTAGGGTTAGCTGGTTAGGAAGATTGTTGGTCTAGAAAGAAATTTGTTGCTAGTCTAGTTTCAAAAAACTGAAATTATGTCGCATTCTACCCTTGAATGGCAGTTTTGGTAAAGTAAGGTTGATGTTCAAAGAAAGTGACATCCATGGAAACAAAGGTTTTTCTTGTGGTGGGATAGTAACACTTGTAACCCTTCTAGGTAGAAGAAACCCCAAGAAAATACACTTAAAAACTCGTTGATCTAACTTGGACCTAAAGGGATTAGGAATATGTACAAAAATAGTAACCCAAAGAAAATTATCAATAGTGTTTTAGAACATAGTATAATTATTAGGTTTATTAAGCGAAGTGTCAATTGGGAGGCTGATAGGTTGACGAAGAAGGGTATAGGATAATTGGTTTGTATCTTTTGTTCGGGTAACTTTTTGGTGTTCAGAGGGATGTGATTAAGATTGTAGTGGATCTGGTTGTAATAATTGGAGCTGTAAATGGTTTAAATTCTTTTTTAATAATAAAATTTGAGGCACTATTTTACTCCTTCCAATGTCCTTTGAGGTACCTTTGTAGCTTGATAGTTATGAAGGTGGTTTTTAATGAGGCCTCTCATTTTTATCAAAAACAAAAGTACACCCAAAGACATTAAAAGGAAGATTGGAAGAAAGAGGTTTGAAGTGGGAAAAAGTTCGAAGTAAGACATCTTTAGGGATCTAAAATTTATAGTTTTACTAGGCATCCTATTAATAAAATATATGTCAGTAAGAATAGCCTCTCCCTTGTAATGTTTTGAAACATTGGAGGAAAATAACAAGGATATAGCTACTCCTAAAAGGTGTCTATTCTTTCTCTCTGCTATCCCATTTTGTTGAGGAGAATCAACACAATAACTGATATGTATAATCTTTTTTTGTTAAAAGTATGGTCCTAAGGTTCTAGTGAAGTACTCACTCCCATTATCAGTTTGAGGGATTCGAATAGTTCTCCCAAATTAAGTTTCTATCATATTTTGAAACTTTTTAAAGATGTTTTCAGTTTTAGATTTTTCTCACATTATGAAGATCTAAATTGTTCTTGAATTATCATCTATAAAGGTGATAAACCATCTAGAACCATCTAAAGTTTTTAGTCTTGAAGAGCCCCAAATGTCACTTGAATAATAGGGCTGAGAGGATTTATGAGTGGAAGGATGATAAGAACCTTTTGTTTTTTTGTTTTTGCTAGATGACAAATGTCAGAAGTGAACAGCTTTGGATTTTTATTAATAAAAAGAGTAGGTAACATTTTTGCAAGGTAATGAAAATTTGGGTGACCTAACATAAAATGCCATAGAAAATTTCTTGAGAAGAATTTGGAACAATGGATAAATTTGAAGGTTGAGGAGAACAACTTGAATAAGCTTGTCATTTAGGAGGTAGTTTCCCTTGAAAAATGTAGAGTCCACCAGACAACCTAGCACTGCCAACCGTAGCCTGAAATTCATAGAAGTTTGAGGAAAAAGTTAGTAGTGCATTGTAAGTCATGAAATAATCTATGGACAGAGAGAATATTAGAAGCTAAATTAGGCACGCAATGCACATGGATAACTCAATATCCTGGTTAAGGGGAATTGAACCATTTTGACAACTGTAGTTTTGATGTCAAATAAATTCATTCTTCTTGATTAATAAATAAAGGAAATACGTAGTAAAGAGAAGTAAGGGTCGATCCTCAGGGACTTAGAAAATTCCCAATTTTCTGTTTGAATTGCTTAAACCATGTGATAAGTAGTAAAAAGGGGGTTTGGTAAAAAGGATTAAATAATAAAAAGTTATTTAAAGAAAAATAAAGAAAATAAAAATTGAAGGTTGAAAATGAATATGGTATACAGCTCAAGCCTTGCTTTGACTCAATTTCCTTCTAATCATCGAATTAGATTTTCTCTTCGGGATTCACGTCGGTTACTTTGTCTACAAGGGTAATCCTCGCGACTCTTCTTGTATACCGAATACCCAATGCAATCTTTGATTCTGGCTTCAAAAATTGATTTGAGCAACATCAATTGTCGTAGATCAATAACCATTTAAGTTCATGAAGACCAACTCGGATTTTTGTTTCAATAACTACTAATTCCGATCTCAATTCCCTCTTGTCAAGGCAATCTCGCCAAGTGTGTTCCCAGTAAGTCGAATGTGCTTTCAATAAGCCGATTCCTCCCACACATTTAATTGCAACAACATCTTGGCCAAAGTCAATATTTGATTTTGAAAACTGTTTTGATTTTGAAAAGAAGCGCAGAGATCGAGAGAGATATTCTGAAGTTATTCAAGTGCTTTTCAATTCTCACATTGGAATTGAGTCATCGCTTAGCTCTCGGCTTATGAGAAAATTAGCTAAGCATGACAAAAGTCATACTTAGCATGTTTAAAAATAAAACTTGAAATAAAATAAAAATGAAAACATGAAAAGAAAAGAAAAGAAAAGAAATAAGTTTATAAAACTAGAAATAAGAAGAATAGTAAATTCTGATAAAATGAAAACATGAAAAGAAAAGAAAAGAAAAGAAATAAGTTTATAAAACTAGAAATAAGAGATAGTAAATTCTGAGTTGTGTGTTTAGGCTTACTCCAAGGGTATTTATAGCCCTAAAAACCTAGAAAAAAACATAGAAATAAATAATCCTAAAGAATTTCCAAATGTTTCTAATTTCAAACTTTAATTTAAAAATAAATCTCCTAATATATCTTTGTTCGTCCATCTTCCAGAAGGCGCTGAATAGATCTTCTAGAAAACTACTGATGACTGGACCTTCTAAAAACTGCCACGTCAGACCGTGTCATGCCCAGAGTTGTGCCCATGTCTCCAACCGTGACCAAATAATAAAAATATAGAATACACCCTTTTTACCACTAATTCTAGAAAGTTAGATCCTCCACGAAAATAAAAATAAAACAACCAAATCACCAACAACGAATCCATAAGAACAAAGAATTAACGAGAAAATATTATCGATTTAGAACACTCATCAAATTCCCCCTCACTTATCTTATGCTTGTCCTCAAGTATGATATAATCAAATCAGCTTAAATTCATTTACCTTTCTTTGTCAAGTCTCACATTCGAGGAAGCAAGGTAGAGACCACAATAATCATCCAAGTTAAGTC